GTACGATTGAAATTAGTGCATGCTATAGAATTAGTATCACTGTTAAACTGTATACGAGTAGGTCGGTGACCTGGACGGAATTTATCATTTTGGGCCTTCATCACACTTATATAAGCAAGAAATTATATTACCATTCGTAAGACAAGTAATTTCAGGCAGGCGCGGATCCAGGATTTCTTAGGGGGGGGGGGGGGCCCAAATTTGAAATTATGCGAGCCAAATATTGGTACGTTATGGTGACCGGTGACGTAATGCGGGGGGGGGGGGGCGAGTTTCCCCCTCCCATGCTTTGACGTTTCATTATATTATTCGAGAAAGAAGACGATTCGTTGTACCGTTCTCGAAAATAATTCTAGTCTGAATTTAGTTTTTCTCCTCCCGCGCGAAGCGCGGAAAATGTTACGATTTATTAAATTATTAGAGAAAGAAGACGATTCGTTGTACAGTTCTCGACTCTTAATCCTTGTCTAAATTCAGCCCCCTTTCCCCCTCCTGTGCGAAGCGCGGAAGCTTTGACGTTTTATTAAACTATTAAAGGAAGAAGACGATTCGTTGTACCGTTCTCGAAAATAATTTCGTTTGAATTTAGTTTTTCCCTCCCGCGCGAAGCGCGGAAAATTTTACGATTTATTAAATTATTAGAGAAAGAAGACGATTCGTTGTACAGTTCTCGACTCTTAATCCTTGTCTAAATTCAGTCCCCCCCTCCCCTTCCTGCGCGAAGCGCGGAAGCTTTGACGTTTTATTAAACTATTAAAGAAAGAAGACGATTCGTTGTACCGTTCTCGATCCTTTATCCTCGTCTGATTTCAGTCCCCCCCCCCCCCTCCCGTGCGAAGCGCGGAAGCTTTTACGTTTCACTAAATCATTAGAGAAAGAAAACGATTCGTTGTACAGTTCTCGACTCTTAATCCTTGTCTAAATTCAGTTCCTCCCCTCCCCCTCCTGCGCGAAGCGCGGAAGCTTTGACGTTTTATTAAACTATTAAAGAAAGAAGACGATTCGTTGTACCGTTCTCGATCCTTTATCCTCGTCTGATTTCAGTTCCCCCCCCCCTCCCGTGCGAAGCGCAGAAGCTTTTACGTTTCATTAAATCATTAGAGAAAGAAAACGATTCGTTGTACAGTTCTCGACTCTTAATCCTTGTCTAAATTCAGTTCCTCCCCCTCCCCCTCCTGCGCGAAGCACGGAAGCTTTTACATTTCATTAAATTATTAGAGAAAGAACACGATTCGTTTTACAGTTCTCGACTCTTAATCCTCGCCTGAATTCAGGTTCCCCCGCTCCCGCACGAGGCGCGGAAGCTTTTAATCTTCATTTAATCATTAGAGAAGAAAACGATTCGTTGTACTGTTCTCGACTCTTAATCCTTGTCTAAATTCAGTTCCTCCCCCTCCCCCTCCTGCGCGAAGCACGGAAGCTTTGACGTTTTATTAAACTATTAAAGAAAGAAGACGACTCGTTGTACCGTTCTCGACTCTTAATCCTCGTCTGAATTATGCCCCCCCCCCCTCCCGCTCGAAGCTTTTACATTTCATTAAATTATTAGAGAAAGAACACGATTCGTTTTACAGTTCTCGACTCTTAATCCTCCTCTGAATTCAGGTTCCCCCCTCCCGCGCGAGGCGCGGAAGCTTTTAATCTTCATTTAATCATTAGAGAAGAAGACGATTCGTTGTACAGTTCTCGACTCTTAATCCTTGTCTAAATTCAGTTCCACCCCCTCCCCCTCCTGCGCGAAGCGCGGAAGCTTCTACGTTTCATTAAATCATTAGAGAAAGAAGACGATTTGTTGTACAGTTCTCGACTCTTAATCCTCGTCTGAATTCAGGTTCCCCCCTCCCGCGCAAAGCGCGGAAGCTTTTAATCTTCATTTAATCATTAGAGAAAAAGACGATTCATTGTACCGATCTCGAAAATAATCCTCATCGGAATTTAGTTCCCCCTCCATCCCGCGCGAAGCGCATAAGCTTTTACGTTTCATTAAATAATTAAAGATTCGTATTACCGTTCTCGCCTCTGAATCCTCGTCTCAATTCAGTCCCCCCCCCCCCCCCTCCTCCCCTCCTGCGCGAGGCTTTGACGTTTTATTATTAGAGAAAGAAAACGATGCATTGTACCGTTCTCTATACTCTTAATCCTTGTCTGAATTTCAAAGAGGTGGGGTCGAGGCGGCGGAGCCGGCCCCGGAAGCTCAGGGGTTTTAGGCGTTTAATTAAGGTCAGATGAGCATATTTTTGTGTATACCTTATTATTTTGTGACACTGGTAAGTCACTATTTGGCGTGGGGTCCAGGGGGCGGAGCCCCCAACAAATCAGGGGTTTTAGGCATTAAATTACCGTCAGATGATCATCTAAGGGCCCGCCGTAGGGCCCTAGATGAAATCCAGGGGGCAAAGCCCCGGAAGCTTAGGGGTTTTAGGCATTTAATCACGGTCAGATGAGCATATTTTGATGCCTCGAGGCTCTCGATCCCCGCCGTACCTCGGGCCCTGACATGTAGGAATCTCAAGAATCATATTTTTTGCCTGGTTGTAAATTTAGGAATTTTTTTATTTTCCAACAAACACATACAAACGTATAATTTACTAAAAAGTGAGGAAAAATTTCGGAAATTATGTCATTTCAGCATTATTTGTAATACACCGTTGTGGAATCAGAAATAAATCACGTTTGAATTTGATTTCCCCCAAGCCCCCCCCCCCCCTCTATCAGTACGCCAGTATCTCCTCTTTTCCTTTTTTTCTTTCCCTTTCCTTCCTTCTCTCTTATTTTTTTTTGATTGGGGGGGGGGGGGGGGTTAACAGCCTGGGAGGCAAGGCCCTTTCGGCCCCCCCCCCCCCGATCTCCTTCTTCCCCCTTAACTTTTCTTCTTCCTCTTCTTTCTTTCCCTTTTTCTCCTTTTTCCCTTTCTCCCTTCTTTTCCTTCTTCTCTTTTTTTTTTTTTTTTTTTTTGCGGGGGGGGGGGGGGCCAAGGCCCGCTCGGCCCCCCCCCCTGGATCCGCGCCTGATTTCAGGAGCCTCGCTCGATTTAAAATGCGGGGAGGTATACCTGGAGGGAAGTGATGGGGCCCGGTTGGGAACACATTTTGTTGGAATCGTTGATGAGAGCTGGGTATGGGTGGTGCACCCGGGTTACATAAAATTACATAAAATCTTCCCCGTCTGATCGGGCATTGTATTCCTGACGGCTAGCAGGGGGGCTCGTGGCAAGTCAGAGGGGACATTCGTTTTATACGAGAAGGGTTTTTTAGCCGTGGTTCCCCCTTCTCTGGCTACACGCTTGGATTTCACATATTTTGATTTTAAGGGTTATGTATGGGGTGCAGATTTTCCTCATTTTTCAGCATAGATTCCAGCACTAGTTCTGTATTTGGGTTGGATACTCAAATCGGTGTGTAATACAATTATAATACAATTATCATATTGGTGTGAATTCATGTACCGACAGGGTCATGGTTAAATGATACATGTAAAAATGACAGTAACCAATGTTAAATAAAGCCACGAAAAAATGCATAATTCATACAGTTTGTCGATTCCTCATTTATCAGCGTGAATAAATAAAAAAAAAAAAGTGTGAAATTGGCCGCAAGAGCAAATATTTTTATTTTAATGCTTTTTGAAAATGTGTACTGAGAAAGTGTGGCAATGATGATCATAATACTCACTTAGGTAATCATGAAATTATCAGCAATTTGAATTAAATTGAATTGAATTTATTTTCTTCTGCAACATCATCATCTGCTTCTTCATCACCATCACATCACCGTCATCGTCATTATCATCATCATTATAATCATCATCATCACCACCACCACCATCATCATCTGCTTTTTCATCACCATCACATCACCGTCATCATCATTATCATCATCATTATAATCATCATCATCAGCTTTTTCATCAACATCACTTCATCATTATCATTATCACAACCATTACCATCATCATCATCATCACCACCACCACCACCACCACCACCATCATCAACATCATCATCATCACCATCATCACCATCATCCTCTGCTTCTTCATCATCATCATCATCATCCTCATCATCACCATCATCATTTGCTTCTTTGTCACCATCGCATCACTATCATCTTCATTATCATCATCATTATCATCATTATCATCATCATCATCATCATCATCATCAGCATCATTTCCATCGTCATCTGCTTCTTTATCACCATCGAATCATCATCATCATCATCATCACCATCATCATCATCCTCATCATCATCATCACCATCGCATCATCATCATCATCATCATCACCATCATCATCATCATCATAATCATCATCATCATCATCACCATCGCATCACTATCATCATCATTATCATCATCATTATTATCATGATCATCATCACCATCATTATCATCATCATCATCCCCATCATCATCATCATCATCACCACCATCATCTGCTTCTTCATCACCATCACATCACCGTCGTATCATTATCATCATTATCATCATCGTCACCACCACAACCATCAGCATCACCATCATCATTTGTTTCTTCATCACCATCGCATCACCGTCATCATCATTATCATCATCATCATCACCATCACCATCTTCATCATCATTACGAACATCATCACCATCATCATCATCGTCATCCTTATCATCGTCACCAACATCATCACTAGCTTCATCATTCACCAACATTATCAGAATTACTGGCAACTATTTGTTCTGTATTCTATCATCGGTAAAATGGATATTAATTACGAATGAGTATTACTAAGGAGGTAGGAGGAGCTTGGTATTACATCATCATCATCATCATCATCATCATCATCATCATAATCATCATCGTCATCATCATCAGTAGTACTTTGAAAGTAGATACATGTTCTGACATTAAGATTTACAACATTCTTGCTTTGAATTCAACAGTGTTCAAATTAAGCGATTTATTTTCTCCCTCAAAATATAAACTGTTACATATACACGTTAAAGAAAATGTCTTTATAATAGTTTCTGGTACATGAAGAAACGTTATAGATCTTTTTGTTTTATATCATAGTTTCTACCATACCATATCTCATGTCATCCTCGTACCCTCTACCCAAGTATCAAGTATGTGCAAAATTTAATTGAATTGGGTCAGCTTGCATTTTATCCTACAGGGTATATGTATACAATAACACAAATCAAATCCAGGTCTATAAATTCACTCTTATTTTGGGTCAACGTTATATTCTACAAAGTAAAAACGAAATAAAGATGTAGAAGTATGCAATGATGGGAATACAAAAAGAAACACTTCAAACAATGTCATTTCCAACGATTAGGAGATTAAACTATGCCATGCTTTTACGTTATGTACAACGTACATTCTCTTTAAAAACATACATTTTATGTGTAGTTTTTTTTTAAGCGCTTATATCTCATTTATTTTCACTAATTAAAATTAATGATTCTTCTATCCTGAAGAAACAACGTTTTATTATTTCAGTAATATTATCTCATTTGATCTGTGTATCGAATCTATTACATTGTATGTTCCACGAATATCTTAAATTACATGTCTTAGAAAAGTTTTGTTACTTTGGATTGTTAATACATTAGTGGTACCTATTAACATCATCATAGCAGCAGCGAACCAATTCGATTGGCCTATTTGGGACACTCTTTACAGGACTGCTGGTGTGACCAACTGTCAACAATTTCTATTGATACTTGAAATCACTACGGTTTGCAATTGCACAATGTACAACAACAACAATTATGTAAAACTGAATGTGTTATGTTTATATGTTATGACCTGCTGTGAAAAATCCATCGTCTTGCATGGGCCATTAAATATTTTTTGTGTGATGTATCTTTGTATGTGATCGTTAGGTACAAATGTCTGCGTTGGTTATGAAATAAATACTCATAGGCTAAATTCAAGTACAAAATTGTTAATATGAGAGCAAGCCCAATGTTTATGCTCATATTATTTCCTCAGCAGTTTAATCTGTAGACTCGATAACACGTAGTTAATAGTTGGAGACTTTTTTTGTCGTAATCTGCATATTAAATGAGCTTGTATTTGAGATTTATGAGTTTATAATATCCATTCACTGTTATTAGCAGTAATTAGTGTTGTAAATAAAAAAAGCATTTGTGACAAAACATTAAATAAAATGGTGTAACTATTTAACTTTTAATCAGGATCAAAACGGATAGAATGTACCCAAAAAAGAACATTCATACTTCGATATACTGTGCATGCCGAAAACAGAGAAATAATGAGTGTATACACAGCAGGCCTTGACATTACATAAAATACCAGGTGCTAAATATATTCATTCATTTACCAAAATGTATTTTCCCCTCATATAAAACCTAATTTTCATTTATTCAAATTTAGCAAAAATGTAATAATATCCCCAAAATGGTAGAATTCACAGCTGTTCAATTGTTTTCCGAGCTATATTTTGTTAACGTTCCCCTGATTATCCTTTGGTGATTGGAGTTGTTGCCACAATTACAGTTTCTTCTCCCCTTGTTGGTAATGCTGCTCCACTCAGCCAGGATTCGAAATCTGGTTTTCCGACCACTAAGGGGGTCTGTCAATAGAAAGAGAAAGAGAGAGAGAGAGAGAGAGAGAGAGAAAGAGAAGGGGTAGGGGATGGGGAGAAAAAGAGAGAGAGAGAGAAAAACAATTTCACATGACATAATAATATACATTTTTTAAATCACTGGTTTGCATGGCACTGTTTTTTGTGAGTGTTGTTGTTGTTTTCTTGTGTTTGTTGTGTCTGTTTTTTTCTTCTTTTTCTTTTTCTTTTTCACAGCAACCAGGGATATAGGCAATGTATGATTCATTTGTAAAGTTTAGAGAGGAGTGCTCTGCTGAACAATGCAACAACAAAAAAATCCACATGTATGACAGTGACATTCACTTTATCTGGGAATTTATCGGTAAGAACTGATTTATTGATTTTCCTCACATTTTACAAAAGATTTACATATTTGTTGTATATAGTATAGTATTTATTTTCCGTTTTAAAAACAAACATATAATACAAGTATATACATAACGTCAATAAAACGGCTGGATAGCCCATATTCAGCTGTGCCAGGCACGACACTGCTGGTCTTCCATGGGGTCCAGAAATCATATACATAAATGGATATAAAACATAACATGTGATTATTTACTAAATTAAAGGATTTAATGAAGTTACAATACACAATTATAGATGCTTAAACTCTAGTAGTTGTGTGAAAGGACTGCGAAAGTCCCCCCCCCCCCCTCGTCCTGATACAGAGCATACAATATCCCGAGTCTGAAAAGGTCAAGTTATTATCAAGGTCTGGGGGATTGAGCATGTGAGTGGACCAACGTTAATTCGTGCTTAAAACTATTCAGAGTTGAGGCATTTCTTACAATTACAGGGAGATTATCATAAGCAATAGCTCCTCTATACTTAAAAGTTCTTTTCAAAAATTCAGTATTAGGCTCAGGCGTATATAGTCTTCCGCCAAAGCGTAAGTGGTATTCGTGCACAGATATACTAAAAAGGTCTGAAATGTAAACAGGGGTCATCTCATTAAGTGATTTAAACATATAGGTTAGCAAATGCTGATTTCTCCTGTCGTGTAACGATTCCCAGTTAAAGATACTTTGTCCCTTTTGCAGCCAACATCAAATTCTGTAGAACTTTGCAGGAATTATGAATATGTCATGTATGTCCTATCTGTGAAATTCAAACATTAGCAATGTCCTAATATTCAAATTATGCAAGGAAACCCGTTTACTTGCTAGACTTCACTGTCAGACACTAATGAGTGACTAACTGGCCTTTTTCATCTTTGGTAATAACATACATAAAATGAGCTGTAAAGGGTACATGAGCATTTGTCAACATTAATAACCAACTTCTTGTAATGGCCAAAATTAAACTGATTGAATCTTTGCGTAGCATAAGATGTACGACCATTCGGTACACTGGTCTGAAAAACAGACTATTACTTACTGGCTCTATAGCTCCTAAGTCAATTTGACAACTAATAGTCGTTATTTTCCCACTTAAAGACATTTTGAGTTGAGTTGAGTTGAGTTTATTGATTTCACATTTCACATGCAGAAATAATACAGATAACAAAATATACATATATATATATATACATATATATTTTCAACCCCCCCCCCTTTTTTTAGGGAAGTTGTAAATTAGTATTGCCTTTCAAATGCCGTTGGAATTTAACCTTTTCATTTGTTTGGCCTGCGCAAGGGACATAGTACCTTTAAGGGCATTGTGAATTTCTGAATTGAGTACATGAGAGTCACGATTGATATGTAGAATCAAACGCCCAGCACGATTTTAGAGCTTTTGTAATCTTTCAGTTCAATATTTACAGGCTGAACCATATACAACATCTCCGTAGTCGAAGTGGGGAAGAACAACTGCATTATATACTAGTTTTAATATAGATTCATTCAAGGTGCTTCTTAGTCTACCAAGAAAGCTTACCATTTGTCCTATTTTTTCACCATATTATCAGTGTGAATGTTCCATTTGATTCAAATGATTTTTATTTCTCATGCAAAACATAATACAAAAATAATTATATCACAACAAATATGCAATGAAACGATAAATATAATGGAAATAGCACGAGAAAAGAGGAACTTACTTGAAGCACAAATGACACCTAAGTACTTGACATTTTTTACTTGTTGAATTTTGGTCTTACAGAGAGTGACATTTAAGTTATTTTCTTTTGAAAGCATGTATCGACTACCAATTAGCATACAAACTGTTTTTTCAAAATGTACACTTAATCTATTTTCCTTCATCCACTGGTGTAGAAGAAGTAGGTCACTGTCCAGAGTTGACTCAATTTTGCGTACTGAGGTATCGGAGGAATATATCACTGTGTCGTCTGCATATAACTTTAGACTGCTTGATTTGATATATTTAGCAAGATAATAAATAAGAGGAGCCCTAAAAGCGACCCTTGCGGGACCCCGCATGATATGAATTTGGAAGATAAAAGAGAATGATTTACAAGGGTTTTACATGTTCTTCCACTTAGATAGCTATAAAACCAGTCACTAGACATATTTTTTATACCAATGTTACGCATTTTCTTCATAAGGATTTCTATGTAAGTAATCTAATAACTGGTGTTGTACAACTCGTTCTAACATTTTAGACACACAGGGCAATATCGAAATTGGCCTGAAATTACCAGGGGAGGATGTATCACCATTTTTATGTATAGGCACAATCTTAGCCGTTTTCCAAGGATTCGGGAATTTTCCAGTTTTCATTGATTTGTTGAATAAGTAAATGAGGGTGGGACCAATTTCAATGGCGCTTAATTTCAAGATTAATGCTGATATTCTATCAAGACCAATCGATTTTTTATTTTTCAATTTTTGTATTAAGTTCAGCGTGTCAGTTTCAGTTATGGACATAAAGCTAAAAGTGCTATCCAGGGTTGCGTTATTTTCATGTGAAAAGTGAACTGGTGGAATATGTTCGGCTGAAGTTGTGCCAATACTTGCAGAGTACGAGTTAAAATCTTCCGCTACTTTAACACTTTCATTCGTATCACCAATTGTAGAATCACATTTTTTAACAGTATTCACATTTGAAAATTTATCAGTAAAATATTTGCATTTCGCCTTTCGAATGTCAAATGTAACTTTATTACGAAGCTTTCTGTATTGTGACATCATATCACCACTCTTAGTCCTGAAAGCTTTATGCTTCATTTTGTCTCCATCTTTCATCAGCTTAAATATGTTCGAATTAATCCAAGGAGTATTACGTTGTTTTGACCTTTTCGTTCGGATAGGCATATGTTTATCAACTACATCGAATACAAGTTTTTCCCATTTTCTAACAGCATCATCAATATTTTCGATGTCTTTAATCATTTCCAAAGGTTGATTTTTAAGGTCTGATTTCAATTGTCGATATCAAAGTCTTTGCAATTTCTAAATTAAACTGTACGTGAGAAAGAAGACGATTCAGATTTAAGAACCAGAAAGCTGATGGAATGATCGCTTAATCCATTATGAGTGACACCGTGTGATTTAACTCTATGTGAACAATTGCTTAACATGTGTTCTACTAGAGTTGCGGACTGGTTAGTTACTCTCGTTGGTTCAGTCTCATTTATTTAAAACGCCTTGAGTACATAAACAGTAGAACTCGGTGGTCTATACCATGTAGTAACTAAGAGCGGTTTACAAAATCTTTGAATGAATAACAACAGCGACGATTTCTAAATCGTTGAGAGATTCATGATGTAAGATCTCCACTTTTAAGGATTTATGAACATAGAGGGCGGCACCACCACCTTGACGATTCCGGTCTTTTCGAATCGTGACATAATTTTCGATTGCTATCTCGTGTTCACTTACAGAGTTGTTAATCTTGGTCTCATTCATAGCAAATATATCAATACTATTATAGAATAACAGTGACTTTAATTCATCTAAATGCCCAATGAGGCTGTTTAAATTCAGCTGGCATAACTTTAAACCCCTGCAATGAAGTTCTTCTTATTTTAGATTACCCTGATTTATATCACTTGGTAAATTATTGAACTCTGGATTGATCGTAGTTATTAATGATTTCGAAGGTAGTAGTTCCACATTAGAAAAAGGCAGCTCTTGAAATAAGCATTTTGGACAATGCCAATTCTCAAAAGAGGTTGATAAACTTGAGGGGTTATTCCAACATAGCTAATGTGCAACCAGTCTGTACATACAATACAATGGAGACCTTTTTGATTCTTTTTGACGTTTTTTTTTTTTTTTTTTTTTACAGCAGACACACGGGTATTTTTACTTAACATTGACAAAGGACATCGTTATAAAAACAGTATGAAAAAAGAACAACAGGATGTTGCATGCTTATGAAATAGGGGTGAACAACAATTACTATAGTGAAATGACACTCCAAGTTTACGGTCTGCAAATGGCGTATCAATCAATCAACTAATCAAACATTTTTCTCTCGGGATAAGACTTGATTCTAACAAGTCTTTTTGCTCAGTTTGCTATTCCACATACTTTCTTCAGTGATTTGGGGGCAAATTTGATACATTTTACTAGTACATGCACAAATCAGCCCAGCCTTCTCCCTGTTTGAATTTCAAAATATAAAAATGCATTTACCCCTTCGAAACAAAGGTATGCTACCACATTGTGGATATTGTTTCAGGGCTTCATGCTTCTTACCTTTGAAATGACATTTGAATCAAGATTGTCAGGAGGAACAGTTCCAACTTCAGGCAAGACTGTCGTTGGTTTACCTGGTATTGATACAACGCCTGGGTGTGGCTGTCTTATTTCTTGGGCCATGTTGCACTGCTGTTGAACTACCAGCAATCTGATATCTAATGGTTGGAGAAAGAATTATGCAAAAGGCACATGTGAATTGTTGTTAGACTAAAATTTTAAAGGAGAAGATTTAAGATAAATGTATATTCCCTCTTTTCTTTAAAGGAAATGTGAAAAAAATTAATTCTCATCGAATTTAAAAATTCATAATATCACAATAAAAACAGAGTATAGCAAATAAACATGCTCAACATTGAACCAAAAGTTAGAGCCCTTGCAAGTGAATTTGGCGATAAAAAAAAAATCAATTCATATATATATATATATATATATATATATATTATATACAGTGCGTCCCAGAAAAAACGAAATCGAGAATCATCGTTGTTTTATCATAACGTATAGTCACATTTATAATTACTAAATGACACATAATTAGAAAGCTTAGTTCCTCCTCTTTCATTTGATGCAACTCCTATGATGCATATTTCACGCATGAGTGATTAAAATAAATTTGAAGAGAGGAAACAAAAGAGTCATTTGGCGGACGGTATCTGAATTCCAAAGAGAAAATCACATTTCTAGAAAGTTGAGGTTCTGCCCTTTCATATGACACCTCAATCAGAAAAATGAGCAAGGAATGACACAGTTCTGAGTGTTTAAAGTCGTGCTTGCATTTCCATAATTTTATCAAACGAATTCGTTTTCACTGGGTGCCTGGGGCGCTAATTTAGCTTATCGACACGGTTTTTATTCTGGGGCCTCACATTAACGAGGCCATTGCTTAACCAATGTATCATGACTGTACGCAGCGGAGGCTAGGGTACGTCGCCACCCCCACAAATACAATAAAAAAAATAAAGAAAATGCAATAAATTATCAATAATTCAATGCAATCCCCCCGGTCCCCAACAGGAAACTTTCCTCTGTAGGGTCGTGCATTATGGTTCAAGGCATGCCCACATAGAGGATATGATGATATTGGGGGTCGGGGCAAATTGCAATGAATTATTGATAATAGCAGCACACACAAACAGTGTATATAAATATATATACATATGAATTGATTTGTTTCGTCAAATTCACTTGCAGTGTATATTCATACGTATACATATATATATATAAAATTAATATATTCATTTAAAAAAACAAATAAATATAAATGATGTACATGATATTTTATGCAACCCCAGATTCCTTTATATGACCTATCCTTTATAAATATAATGTTACATGACAATTACTTTCTATGTTTGCAAAGGGGAAGTCCACTCTGTTCTTGACACCTGTATTAGTTTCACAGGGTAAGTCCACCCTAAAAATTAGCTGATTTTATTGAAAGCACAAAAATGAGAAAAACAAAGTATTGAACGTTTGAGCAATATCAAATTAAAAATAAGAACTTATGAATTGCTCAAGTTGAAACACAGTGAAACACATCACTGTGCACTATTTTGGGAGCGGCTTTTAAAATTTGCTCTCTACTGATATATTGTAAACTTTCATTTTGTTTGTTATTTATGATATAAAATATTTGTTTCAAAAAGGGGTGAATTTAGGGTGAATGCATGATTGAACATTTTCTCTATATTGGGGAGAATATAAATTTCAGATTTTGTTATAGTACAAAGCAATAAGAGCTATAAGAAAAGTACAGGATATGTCTTATTACTTAAAAACTGAAAACAAGGATGATAATAATATTAATATTGGGTTCTTGTATATAACGCTCATATATGTCAGACTTGACACTCATGGCGCTCCCGATAAATACCATGGCTTTAGCATGGTTGCCATGAAGGCGCTCTAATATTTCAAGGAATTAATTCCTTCCAGGTACCCATTTACATAGCATGGTTTGAGTGCGTTGAATGTAGATCAATGTCTTGCCAAAGGACATTAGTACCGCGGAGGGACTCGAACCGCGGACCGTGTGATCCACAGTTCGCATACGTATCCACTCGACCACGACACTGTTATATAATTTCTTGTTTCCGATGAATTGATTTTAGAAAAGCCTTCGAATCAATAGACCATGAATTTATTTGTAAAGCACTGGAGTCCGTAGGCTTAGGTCTAACATTTATAGGATGGGTTCAAACACTCTATTGTAACACTGAAAGGAATTTGTACTAAATAATGGCAGATAGGAATAAGACAAGGTGTCCCTTTATCCCCGTACCCTTTTCTGATTGCAATTGAAATGTGAGCTTCTCGTCTAAAGAATACGGCAGAAATTAGAGGAATTAATTTGGCTCAAGTGAACAAAACTATCATTAAATGCAAATGATTTGCGTGCATTTTGTTTAGATTATAATTCAGTTGAAGTATTATTCGATGTGCTAAATATAGATGTTCTAGTCTGACATCGCACAAAGAATAAAAACAGAAATATAGAAGATTGGAAAGCATCGCCTAGTTGATAATTTCATAATCTCAGGAACATTATGTTGGGTACAATCCTAAAGATTATCAGGAACAAAAAGTGATGGATATACTATTACATATCATCAATGTGTTTGATATATCACAGTTCATTTACCTATTCTCATCAATTCTTGTACCCAGCTGCGTTGTGAAAGAATCGAAACTATATTTTATATACGCATTTCTATGGAAAGGGAAGGACAAAGTTAGACGGAATGTCATTACACAACAAGTTGAGAAAGGAGGTCACAAAAGGGTAGATGTCAAATCCGTAATCTCGGCAAAACAGTTAACTTGGAGTTTAAGAATGAAGATTGGTAGCAATCAAACAAGGTTTAATATTTTCAATTATATACCTCACTTAAGAAATCCAGCCATCTGATTGGTCGAAATTGCATTCATAAACATAAACTATTCCTGTAAAATTCCCGGTAACATTCCAAACCCATGTAATAGTTCTAACAAATAGTTCTAAAATCCCAGTAACCATGGTTACCGGGAAAATAGTTCAGTCTTGGTGAAATACCCATAGGTTGACATGTTAAAAAATGGTCTGAGCGATCGAGGATACCGTACGTGTGCGATGAATTGGTCGGTAATTTCAATACAATTGAATCTCGATCGATCTTACCGACAATTTTATCTTGCATTATTGACATGAAGACGAAAATAAACTTCCAACAACAACATCTGCCGATAGATCTTGATCTAAGTTCGTGCCAATGCATTGAAAAAGTAAAAGAAGGGCCCGTTTAATGGAGCTGCCGCGAAGTATCAGCGCACGAAGCCGTTTTCAATCCATTTTAATCAATAAATAAGAGAAAACTACTAGAAATGGTAATAGTTCGCGATTGCCGAGCGGTGTAAGGCGGTGACTTTAGTCACATCATCGTTGGTGCGCAAGAGATCAAATCCCATCTTCGCCTAAAAAAAAATAAAAAAATAATGTTTTAGTCTCCTCTCAAAGATACACTCATAAAAAACAACCGTGCAGATAAACTAGATAAGGCCAAGGTGGTGTCATAAGTTGACTTTTTTTTTCGGCATATAAAAGTATTAATGACTGCTTTAATATTCGAGAAATAGTTGTTTTTATACGCTCTCGGGAGGGTTACAATTGGGCTATTGCCCTCGGCACGCCTCGGGCAATAGCACAATTCTATCCTTCCCTCGGGCAATAGCACAATTCTATCCTTCCCTTGAGTGTATAAAAACAACTATTTCTCTCAAAGCAGTCATTAATACTATATTATATACCTCACTTAAGAAATCCAGCCATCTGATTGGTCGAAATTACATTCATAAACTTTAACTATTCCTGTAATATTCCCGGTAAAATTCCACACCCATGTAATAGTTCTAAAAAAATAGTTTTAAAATCCCAGTTACCATGGTTACCGGGAAAATAGTTCAGTCTTGAAGAAACACCCATAGGTATACATGTTAAAAAATGGTTTGAGCGATTGAGGGTACCATACGTGTGCGAAGAATTGGTCGGTATTTTCATACAAGACAAGACAATTCCAAACAAGACAAAAATGGCTGAAGATACTCTCCCAAGATTTCAACTTATCAAATGCAAGACTCGCTGACAGCAAGAACAACAAAAGGGTACGTGAAATTATCCATAAACATGTTCGTTTAGTTGCTGAAAATGCTTTTGACGAGTACCAGCATAGACGTAGACGAAAATAGATCTAGTAGTCTACGGTGTCTGATCGCGCACCCGATGTTGAATGCTAAAATTCTTCCCATAGAGATTGCACGCAATGCCATCTCTATGCAGTCTACGTGCATTGCGCGACCATGCAAAAAGAGGCAAGTTTTTTTTTCAATTCGAGATTCAAACCTTTATATGTTGTGATCCTGAAGGTGATATGGAACAATTTTGAGATACAGATTGACAATAAAATGGTTTTCGTAAAAATTTGTTTGAAAAGGGAACTGTAACTATACACCATATTATGTTGCCAGGTGGTGCAACGAAAATATACGACTTGTTGAACAATCAATTCAACATTAAAGCATTGTGAATGGCTATTTATTACTACAGTTAGTGGCTTCGTGCATAAAGAAGGGCAGTGATCACAAACTTAGTCAGGTTCACACAGATGAAATAGAGGCAATTAATAAAGATAGAGTTATGCCAAATGAGTTAAGACATCTTAAGGTGATAATAAATAAACAATCTTATGTAAACGTTGTCAAATAAACAGAGATCAATCTCTGATCTCTATTCGTTTAAGAAATAAGTATTATTTGAGAGGTACTGAATTCTGAAACGTGCGAGAAATTATGATCAAAACGATTATACTTCAAGTTTAAAGTTCAACATAATATTCTGTTTTATATTACAAGTTATTCAAACATGCATATTGAGACTCTTTTAGGATGTAGGTTTGGCTGTAAACATTCAGAAACTTTAGAGACGTTTTAGAATGATACCAAGTTTTCGTTGTCCAAGTTTGAATTATCTTTTCTGGATGAAAAAACACTAATCGTATGATACTTTGAGAAGCAGCTACAAAATATAATATCAAATTATATTTATCTATTAGCGATACGATGTATTTATTGTGCATGATCAAGAAACACAGACCAAGCACTGATCGTTTAAAAAGGATGCTTTTTTATTTTGTATAAAGAAGAATAATATATTGCAAATCGAAGAGGCGAATTATATATTGCATCATAGAAAATGGAATTGTGTACTAATATTTTAGTTTTTTGATTACTTTTACACTTCATTGTAATACCATTGACCTTATAATCTGCTGTACTTAAAAGACGGATGGTTCAAGCTGTTGAAATATATATTATATACATATATATATATACTTAGAATTAGTCTATTCCTTATCTTAGTCTGCCTTATCCAATATATATATATATATATATATGGATCAATTATGCAAAAGATTTATTGCATCCTTCTATGGGATATGTATTTTGACCTGAAAAGACAATATCAATAAAACATCTTTGAAATATTTTAAATATTTATAAATATACAGTCATGGTACAATGGTAGACATTCCTTTATGATTATTACACTATAATATCGATCAGTGGGCTACATTTATTAATGGTTTATGATAACTTTGAAAGAAAATCTTACCCAATCTCTGTAAAATTCAATTATTTGAAGCTAGGTGTCATCCAAAAAAAGGTTCGAACAGAGCTGAAAACGTCGATTTCAAGAAGCTGAAGAGAAAAATCGTGTCGTTGTTGATAGAAGTCTCACTGTGAAATAACGAACAAGTTAGTTCCTGGTTTGAGTAATACCAATCCTTCATAGGAATGAACCAATCACATGAAGCCAGCTGTCTGTCTCTCAGTGCGTTAATCATTAGGAATAGTAATTCAAGTTATTATGTCGTCACAATTTCAATGGAATCAGTCAGGTAGAGTATCTGGGATCTGTATAGCTGGAGGGGGGGGGGGGACATAAATATTTATAATGAGAAGGCCGTCAGTTTCCATGTGCAGAAGGCCATAATTCGCTGACACTAGACTTGGTAGAAATACCATTAATGTATGAACAAGTCTGCACACAGCAAACCGTATCAAGAAATATCCCCTATTCTCTCGGAGATTCTACGGGTGCAACGACGATGCACCAACAATGAAGCCTCAGTATAAACAGCAGCTCGTCTCCATGCATTCGCACGAATTTATGTTTGTTTGTTTGTTTGCTTTTATTTCTGCGTTCAAAATAATACAATACGTAATATAAAATGTGTTTACAAAGATAATATACAAAACAATTCATAAGATAAACAATATAGTCATGATACATAATGAATACAAAATAAGGAAGTGAGCTTAAACTTTTTGTATAGATATATATCCATATATACGCACATATACATACATATACATATATATATATATACATATGCATAGCACATGCATACATACATACACATACACATATACACCTATACATACTCTCACATATAATATAATATAATTTAACACATATAATATAATATATAATCCAATCAATGAACGCAGGAGACCGCCATCGTGAGCGGTAAGGCTTGAAATCGATGGCGGCCTCATAAAAAGATTCGTGACTGAAATTGATATTTACTGATCAAGTGGGTGTATTGCAGGTGCAGGTGCTGGTGCTGTATGTAGCAGTTGAGTAAAATGAGGATATTGAATGACAAATGTGAATATTTATGTGAATATATTAATTATATTAATGAGAGTGGCTTTGAAGGAGTATATGGTCGAACAAGATTTAATATTGTCTGAAAAATTATTCCAGATGTCTGGACCATGATGACGAATTGATTTAGAGGCAATTAACAGTTTTGGGTTTGTGAGATGAAAGTTTCCGGATATGCGAGTTGGGTAGGTATGGACAGAGCTATTGAACTTAAACATGTCATCAAAAGATGAAGGGAGCAGATTATTAATATACTTAAACATAATGATAGCTATTTGAATCGTATATAAGTCGGCAATTTTTAGTGCTTTTTGTTTAAAAAATAAAGGATCGGTGTGGGCCAAGTAATGCGATCCTGTACAAATACGAATTGCTCTCTTTTGTAGTTTAAAAATAGGAGTCAGCTTTGTAGAACCACAACTAGCCCAAACAACGTTACAGTAGGTTATATATGGGAGTACTAACGAATTATACAATAAAAATAAAGTTTTATGAGGTAAAATAAATCTTAACTTGGAAATTATTCTAATACTTTTTGAGATACTTACTATGATATGGTGCAGATGTTCATTCCAAGATAAAGTTTGATCTATGATAACACCTAAAAATCTAGAGTGAGTTTTCTGCTCTAATGGCATGCCGTCAATCTGTAAGTGAATTGGAGTATCAGTAATATGAGAATGGTGTTTAAAAAAGATGAAGTGGGTCTTTTTTGTGTTCAAAGATAGTTTGTTAGCTTTAAACCATTGTGATACTTTGTTTATTTCATGATTTAATATGTTGTTTAAGGAAGTGAGATTTTTATGAGAAAAAAAGATATTTGTGTCGTCAGCGAATAATACAAAAGATAAAATGGAGGATGTATTAATAATGTCATTGACATATAGCAGAAATAACAGTGGGCCTAGAATCGAGCCTTGAGGGACACCACATTGAACTAAAAGTGAATCAGAGTCATAACCATTAAATGTGACATATTGTCTTCGATTTCTTAAATAATCTTTAAACCAAAGGAGTGATTGACCTCGTATACCATAATAATTAAGTTTTGAAAGTAAAATATCGTGATTAAGTGTATCGAATGCCTTACTGAGGTCACAAAATATACCAATGACATGTTTTTTGTTAGCTATGGCGTTTGTAATTTTATCATAAATTTGGATTAAAGCCAGGTTTGTTGAGTAATTTTTTCTGAAGCCATATTGATTAGAAGTTAGCAAATTGTGTTTGTTGATAAATTATCTATCTATTATATACTATTTTTTCAAAATTTGTGGATATACTTGGGAGTAGAGATATGGGGTGATAATTCCTAATTTCATGAGGATTGTCTTTTTTTGAAAATTGGATTGATTTTGAATAAGTCCGGAAAAACACCTTGTGATAATTTATTGAAAATGTGACTAAGAGGGTTAACAAGTGGGTGGATTATTTCTTTTAAAAGAGACACACTAATTCTATCATGCCCGTGAGATTTGGAGTTGTTAAGAGAACGTGTAATATTGTACAATAATGAACCTACTTTGTAGAAGGTCCATGGTACAATGAGTCAATGTCGCTATTCATAAGGACCGCTATTCATAAGGTCAGTTATTCGTAAGGACCGCTATTCATAAGGACCGCTTTTCATAATTTGAGAAAAGGGTCATTATTCCTAAGGACCGCTATTCATAATCAGAGAAGAGGGTCGGTATTCATAATATAAGAAGTTGGTCGCTTTTCATAATGCAAAATCGGGGTCGTTATTCATAAGGGTCGCTATTCATAATAGGAGTAGAGGGTCGCTATTCATAATACGAAATGAGGGTCACTATTCATAATGTAGAATGAGGGTCTCTATTCATAAGGTTCATTATTCATAAGGGTCGCTATTCATAATACCAAATGAGGGTCGCCATTCATAATAGGAGGCCCTTTGACTTAATTTGTCTGTTATTGCCTTAGTCATATTGGTTAAATTTTTTGTTATATACTGTATATTATACTTTGTGAGAATGTCAAACCACATTTGTATGTAAATTGTTCATAATTCAGCCATCTGGCTGCGAAGTGCAATTAATAAAACCTTTTCAATCTCAATCAATCTCAAAAGAAGTGGAGGGTCACTATTCATAATAGGAGAAGAAGGTCGCTATTCATAACATGGAATGAGGGTCGTTATTCATAATACGAAATAAGGGTCACTATTCATAATGCGGAATGAGGGTCTCTGTTCATAAGGATCATTATTCATAAGGGTTGCTATCCATAATAGAAGTAGAGGGTCGCTATTCATAATACGAGAAGAGGTTTGCTATTCATAATATGAAATGAGGTTCGCTATTCATAATAGTAGAAGAGAGTCGCTATTCATAATAGGAATAGAGGGTCGCTATTCATGATAAGGTCACTATTCATAATACAAAATGAGGTTAGCTATTCATAATAGGAGTAGAGGTTCGCTATTCATAGTACGAAATGAGGGTCGCTATTCATAATAGGAGTAGAGGTTCGCTAGTCAAAATAGGAGTAGGGGTTCGCTATTCATAATAGGAGTAGAGGTTCACTATTCATAATACGATATGAGGGTCGCTATTCATTATATGAGAAGAGGGTCGCTATTCATGAAATGAAATGAGGGTCGCTATTCATAATACAACTAGAGGTTCGCTATTCATAATGAGAAATGAGTGTCGCTATCCATATTAAGAGTAGAGGGTCGCTATTCATAATACGAGAAGAGGTTCGCTATTCATAATACGATATGAGGGTCGCTATTCATAATAGGAGTAAAGGTTCGCTGTTCATAATACGAAATGAGGGTCGCTATTCATAATAGGGTCACTATTCATAATACGAAATGAGGTTCGCTATTCATACTAGGAGTAGAGGTTCACTATTCATAATAGGAGTAGGGGTTCGCTATTCATAATATAAGAGGGTCGCTATCCATATTAGAAGTAGAGGGTCGATATTTATAGTACGAAATGAGGGTCGCTATTCATAATATAAGAGGGTCGCTATCCATATAAGTAGTAGAGGGTCGATATTCATAACACAAGAAGAGGTTCACTATTCATAATACGATGGAGGGTCGCTATTCATAAAACGAGGAGAGGGTCGCTATTCATAATACGATACGAGGGGCGCTATTCATAATACGAAATGAGCGTCGCTATTCATAATACCAAATGAACGTCGCTATTCATAATAGGAGTAGAGGGTCGCTATTCATAATAGGAGTAGAAGGTCGCTATTCATTATATGGAATGAGGGTCGCTATTCATAATACGAAATTAGGGTCGCTATTCATTATAGGAGTAGAAAGTCGCTAGTCAAAATAGGAGTAGGGGTTCGCTATTCATAATAGGAGTAAAGGTTCGCTGTTCATAATACGAAATGAGGGTCGCTATTCATAATAGGGTCACTATTCATATTACGAAATGAGGTTCGCTATTCATAATAGGAGTAGAGGTTCACTATTCATAATACGATATGAGGGTCGCTATTCATTATATGAGAAGAGGGTCGCTATTCATGAAATGAAATGAGGGTCGCTATTCATAATACAACTAGAGGTTCGCTATTCATAATGAGAAATGAGTGTCGCTATCCATATTAAGAGTAGAGGGTCGCTATCCGTAATACGAGAAGAGGTTCGCTATTCATAATACGATATGAGGGTCGCTATTCATAATACGATATGAGGGGCGCTATTCATAATACGAAATGAGGGTCGCTATTCATAATACCAAATGAACGTCGCTATTCATAATAGGAGTAGAGGGTCGCTATTCATAATAGGAGTAGAAGGTCGCTATTCATTATATGGAATGAGGGTCGCTATTCATAATACAAAATTAGGGTCGCTATTCATAATACAAAATTAGGGTCGCTATTCATAATAGGAGTAGAAAGTCGCTATTCATTATACGAACGTGGGTCGCTATGCATAATAGGAGTAGAGGGTCGCTATTCATAATAGGAGTAGAAGGTCGCTATTCATTATATGGAATGAGGGTCGCTATTTATAAAACGAAATGAGGGTCGCTATTTAT